TATACGGAGCAGTAGCTCCATATTGGGCGACCGCCGCCTTAATTTCTTTTACCATTTTAAAATCAAACCCACTGTGACGGTACCAAACCTGTCCTTGGGGATCTGTAGTTTCCATAACAGGGAATGTCTCAAAGTCTGTTGTATGTGATCCCTGAACTAGTTTTGTTTCTTTGTCTGTACTGGTTTTTAGTTTCTCTAATTGTGATACAAAAGGTATCTGCGTGGATAATATTAAACCCACAATGTAGAAAATGCTATATGCTATGTAGACTCTTTTGCTATATCTCTGTATCAGTAACAACACAAACACATGCAGTGGAATAAGGTTGATGATAAACACATAACCACCCCAAGCAGAGACCATATAGAAATATGATAAACAGCAGAACATTGTCCAAAAAACTGACCCATTTTTTGACTAATTTTTCTTTGGCTCTTGTAGAACCTTAAGGTTGTTTTTCTTTTTTAGTTTTTTGGATTTTTTGGGTTTTGTCTCACCTTCAGGGCTTTTAACTTCTTCCTCACTATCTAGGGAAATAAGATCCTCTCCCTGTTCTTTTTCAATTTTAGAATCCTTGGTTAGGTCAACCATAGTGGCAAGGGCTTCTTTTAAGCCCTGAATGAATAGTTCGTGATGACTAAGCTTTTGTCCCATTATTACCCGTACTTAAATAAAACATAAGTAAATACTTACCAGGACGTCTTTTCTTTGTCCTTCTATGTTTTTCGCCGGCCTTTCTCGGGACGAGTCTATGCCGTCCTCTTCTGGACAAGTCTATGCCATCCCTTCTGGACGAGTCTATGCCGTCCCCTTCTACAGCCTTTCCCACCAGCTTTTCTCGCTTGCTCTGCACTGGAGCCTTCCTTGGGAGCTCTTCACTGGATCCCTCGTACCCGAGTCCGTGTTCAGGCGCCATGTGTCCCAACCCGGGAGACAGTCGAAAGGTTTCCTGAGGGAAGGAGTGAGAGACGGGTCGAATGACACAGTGTTACAACACAGAGATGACACAGTGTTACAACTCTTCAGGGTCGTCCATTTATTGTGGGCAGCATGGAGACAACACAGTATCACGGCTCTTCAGGGTTGTCCGGAGACGACACGGTGTCACAGCTCAGGATTGTCCGGGTTGTCTGGCGATTGTGGGCCAGGGATCGTGGTTATATACATGTTGGTGGACCATGATTGGTTGTAAAAGGTGATTGCTTTGTGGACCAATCATGAGGTGCCGGATATGCAAATCTGAGGGATTCTAGTGGCCAATCAGAGTATGGTTTTGAAGGTGAGGTTTTGAAGGGAAGCCAATGAGGCTTTTGGCATGTGTAATTGTTTGCTCTCTGAGAAACTGGCAATAGTCACTGGTATGCAGCCTCCCACAATTATCCCTTTTTTTTTTTTTTTTGAGAGGTTTTTGTATAGAGCACATGAGTTCTCCAGAAAGACAGAGAGACAGAAAGCGAGACATCCCCAGGGGGAAACGGCCACACCACAATCTCTTCTCCATTCTCCTCTCAGGATCTTGGGCACGCACGCACACGTGCCTGGCATGAGTTTAAGCCAGCAGGCCCAGGACTCAAACTGCGGTTGACTACATGGGAGTCCAGCAACGTAGCTATTACGCCACCTCCAGGTCCCAACAAACTATTACCTTAACCATAGCACATGGCAAGTTTGTTCAGGATCAGCCCTATTATAGCCTCACTCTTTTGTCATGGCCTAACTTGCTAAACCTTTTCCAAGGTCTCCTCTGTCTGCCTTCATGTTCCCTGCCTCACTGGATTTTATTTAACTAGTCTCAAGATTGATTTCTCTAAAAGAAGAAGCAAAAATTGGTTGAAGTCTGTATTTCTTTTAATAAGTAAGTCATGTTTAAACACACCTATCACTGAGGCCGGCAAGTGGTATGGTGGTTAAGGGCACTAGACTCAAACATGGCAGACTGCAGTTTAAATCCTGGACCTGACGACTTGCTTTCTCACTTTCCCTCTCTTTTTCTCTCTCTCTCTCTCCCCCATACAAATGCATGCTCCCTCTGGCAAGAACTTTTTTTTACAAAAAGAATAAACCCATACTGTTCATTTTTAACATATGCTGTCCTGCTTACCTGACCATCATTTGTAATGTTTACATGTTATGTATAATTTACTAGGAAAGTCATGGCGTATTTTTGCATAGCAAAACTTTTCCATTGATCCAATACAAATTTTCAAAAGGCTCCGAAGTAGTTTTTTCAAAATATTTATTTAGAAACATGGAGTTCAAGTATGATTGCTGTGAATACATGTATGCTCATCTCAGAAGCCCTTGCTTTTATGAGTACCCTCAAAGGTGAGGACACATTCCCCTCTGCTCTCTGCTCCTCCCTCTGTGCAGAGCTGGGGGAGCAGTAAAGATTCTCCATGGAAAGGTCTGAGCCCCATCCACAGCAGTGATTTGTTTCAGTCCCTGGTGCAGTACTCCTGCTTGGTGGTGGCCAGGCTTTTGACGGAAGCTTGCCACACACTCACTTGCTGGGGCTTGCCTTCACTAATATACCCAGGGTGTTATTTCTCTATGTACATAAAAGGCTTTTGTTTGTTTTGTTTTAAGATTTTTGCCATAATGAGTGTGCTTGCTAGAGAGAGACAGAGAAAGGGAAAGTGAGAAAAGAGCAATCACCCCACAGGGGGATGGTCATGCCATGCCACAGTTTCATCTCCTCCATTCTCCACTCTGGATTTTGGGTGCTCACACACACATGCTGGACATGAGTCTCAGGCTGCCAGGTACAGGACTTGAACTTAAATCCTCTGCATCTAGGACTCCAACCCAGTAGTTGCCATGTGAGATCCAGGATCTTAACCACCATGCTACCTGCTGGCCCAAAGTCTTTTCTTTTTCTTTTTCTTTTTCTTTTTTTTTCCAAGAGAGAATTTTGCTATAGGGCACGTAGGCTCTCTGGAGACACAGACAGAAAGTGAAAAATCACCCGCCGGTGGGGATAGCCACACCACAGTCTCCTCTTCTTCCTTCTCCTCTCAGGATTTTGGACACCCATACGTGCACACACATGCACCTGACGTGGGTTTAAGCTGCCAGGTCTGGGACATACTGTGGTTGACTGTGGGAATACAGCGACGTAACCATTACACAACCTGCTGGTCCCCCAAAGTCTTTTCTGAATAAAAAGTTTATCTTCTTTAATACTTTGCATTTTTATGCTTTTAAAAAGTTATTTTTAAAAAATTTCCTTATTTCCTCATGTGTTTCTAAATGTTGATTTTTCCAATTAGGCCGTCACCGATGGGTTACATATACTACTGAAATGAATGGCAAAAACACATTCTGGGATGTGGATGGAAGTATGGTACCTCCTGAATGGTAAGCCAAGTTGCCGTTTCATTTTCTTTGACTTGGCAATGTTGTTTTATTACCCAAATATTTATTAAATGTCTGTGTACTTGTAAAGCAGTTAGTGATTTATCTCACATTTTGAGGTCTAAGTTCAGACAAGACAAATCAGAGTTGGCTTATCTCCGATTCTGAATGTTGGGGGTCTCACCTGGAAGACTCAAAGGCTGAACACTGGAGTCATCTGAAGACTCACTCACTTAGTGTCTGGAAGTTAATGCTGGCTGCCAGCTGAGGACATAGTTGGGGCTGTGGGTTGGAACCTTCCTGGGCTTCCTCAAGCAACTGATGTTAAAGAGAGCCAGGCAAAAGACATACTGCCTTATCGAACCTAGTCTTAGAAGTCACTTCCTTCCGTATTCTATTGTTGAGGAGATTAAGAAGTTCATTGGGGAATCAGCAGATGGCATAATAGTTATGTCACTGGGCTCCCATGTAGTTGACCATGGTTCAAGTCCTGGACCCAGTGGCTTAAACCTTATACCAGGCACGTGTGCGTGAGTGCCCAAAATCCCAGGAGGAGAACGGAGGAGAAGGGATTGCAGCAAGGCCATCTCCCTGGGGGATATTTCTCACTTTCTGTCTCTTCAGAGAGTGCATGTGCCCTATAGCAAAAATCTCTCTTAAAAAAAAAAAAGGTCAGTGAGAGGAAACGTGGGCCTTTTCTCTTTTTCCGAAAAAATTTGTTGGAGAGCACATGCATTTGCTAGAGAGAAAGGGAAAGAAAGTGAGAAATCACCCCTCGTGGGGAAAGGACACACAGCAATTACATCTCCTCCAATTCTGTGCCTCCTTGTGGGATTATGGGCTCACATGCATACATACCTGATACGTTTCTCAAGCCCCTTGGTCTGGTACTTGAACCATGTTATCAGCCATGTGAGATCCAGCCACCTTAACCACCATGCCATGGACTGGCCTGGTTCTATAATTATTTGTTTAATAGTATTCATTTAATTATTTATTTTAATTTGTCCAGAGAGAGACATGGTGCAGAGCGGTTGGGGGTTGATAAAGCAAGCAACCAAGTCCAGGACTTAAACTGTGATTGGCCACGTGGGAGTATCCAGTGCCTTAACCACCACACTACCTGCCAGCCCCTTGGCTCTATTTCTTGACAGAGTTGTGTCAATAGTGCATTATATATTGGGATATATTATGGTGCAGCTATCTTTGGGAAAAAACAGTATGCCATTGTCTGCAGCTGAAAGGAAAGGCAAAAGGAACTCCAGCTCTGATCTATCTGGTAATTTGACTTGAAGCAAGTTCCTTAACCTCTCTAGAGCTTAGCCTATAAAATGAGGGCCCTAACCTTCCTTAGATCTCTTAAAAATGCTATAATTTATGGTATACAAATTTTGAAATTAAATTCTAAATGCTCTTGCATTGTCAAAGTTTGTTATGTAATATTTCCAAACAAATACTGTACTTAGATCTATTTCATAGATTGCTTCAATAGTACCATTTGTTGATATATAATTAAGCTCTGGGGAGCCTTTCTAGTTGGTCTAGAAATTTTTCACCAAAAAACTAGAAACTGGTGTCTCATTTTAGCTGTGATGTTTTATTTTAGTCGAACTTGATTATCGGAAATAGTTTGGGGCTCTGTTGAATAAAAACTGGGATAATCTCATCGTATTCTCTTCCATTTCAAAGATTTACTTGGAAACCCAGGCCTTCACGACATAAGCGAGTGAGGCCATGCAGGTGTGAGACCGTAGGGAGTAGGGGGATTGCAGTGACCTGGAAAGCACATACTCCTTCAGAGAGGGCAGCAGCTCTATTCAGCTCCCACCACTTCCATCAGATAGAATTCTGACTAAGATTTCTAGGTAAGACTTAAGAGGTGGAAATCCGTGTTTCTTCATAAGAGTTCTTGTTTTTTTTGTTTTGTTTATTTTTTTTCTAGTATTATAAAAAATATTGGACAGTTTATTGTTTTAAAACATTAGTCACCAGGAAGAGAGAAAGCAACTCCCAGTGGTCATACTGCAGTTCCTTATCCTTCATTTCTCCCTCTGGTCAAGATTTTGGGTACCCACACATGTGTACCTGGCATGTTTTTCAACACCGGTGGTGGGATTTGAACTATAGTCAGTCCTGTAGCCTGAATGGATGCCAACTAGTCAAACTGAGCTCTATTTGAACAATAAAAAAAAAACAAAAACAACTATAATAATGGATCATAGGGTCCAGCAGTTGGAGTAGCAGTTATACCGCTGGACTCCCACATAGCCAACGACTGGACGAAGGTGCTTGTGATGCAAAGTGTGAGACTGGGACTGTGTATCTGTTACTATGCAACAAATGATCCCACACTTAGCTTAAACAGTGCACATTATCTGCAGTGTCTTATTGATCAGCAGTTCCAGTGCAGCTAGGCCGAATGTGTCTGGCCTCTGTCAAGGATATAACTGAGATGTCGCCTACAGCTGCAGTCTTCTCCAGGCTGGACTTGTGAAGGATCCTTTGCTAAACTCACTCACGTAGTGGAGACACCCCTCTGAGGATATCCTTCCACACTCACATGGGCCTTTCCACAGGGCCACCCTGTGACATGGCAGCTTGTTTCCCCAGAGCAAGTGACCTGAGAGAGCAAAAGAGAACCCTCCAAGTGGAAGCCAGGCTTTTTAAACCTAAAGTCAGAAGTGGTGACTCACATTTCTCCTGTTTATTAGAGGTTGTCAGTTTGTCCAGCCCCAACTCAAGGAGAAAGGGTGTGCATGCTAGGAGGAGATGACCATTGGAGGCCATCTTAGAGGTTACCATTATATACCCCGGGGATATATTTTTCTCCTTCAGTTTCTTTTTTTTTTTTTTTTCCTTTTAAGAGATTTTTCCTATGGGGTGCAAGCACTTGCCGGAGGAACAGAGAGAGATAGAAAGTGAGAAATCCCCCCTGGGGAGGGATGGCCATGCCACAGTCCCCTCATATCCATTCTCCTCTCAGGATTTTAGACACTCGTGCACACATGCCGGCATGAGTTTCAAGCCTTTGGGTCCGGGACTTGAACCATGGTCAGCCACGTGGGAGTCCATCTATGTAACCATCACCACCATCTGCTGGCCTCTCTTATTTCAGCTTTTGCCATAGGGTGTGTGCACTCTCTAGAGAAACAGATAGAAAGGGAAAGTAAGAAATCACCCCTTCGGGTGGCCATGCCACAATCACTTTTGCTCTTTGGATTTTGGGCCTGCACGTACATGTGCCTAGCCTGTTTTTTCTAAGCCCTGGGCCTGGGACTCGAACTGCAGAGTTCACCATGTGAGATCCTTAACTTCCATGCTACCTGATTGGCATCCCAGGAATATATTTTCAAGTAAGATGGAGTTGGATTTGCTGATAGAATTTTGAGAGAGAAAGGAGTCAAAGATGACTTCAAGATTTTTGGCCTAAATTATTGGCATTGCTTCTAGATAGGGAAGACAGAGTGGAGTGAGGAAGATTTGGAAGGTGTAGTCAGGAGCTCTGTATTGTCCGTGTTATGTGTGGGGTGCTTGAGAGACAACCAAGTGGGGTTGGTGGGTGGACAGCTGAAAACACTCGTCTGGAGGTCAGGGTAGAGACTGGTACTGGAGACAGGACTTCAGTGCGGTGTCACCTAGTAGTGTACAGTTTGACTACATAAACTAGGGATTGAAAGAATATGACCTTCAATTAAATGCCTGGCTCATTTGCCCTGAAAACCAGAGAAAATTGTGTCAACTATTTGATCTCCAGTTGTAAACTGCGTCTGGATTAGGAGGAACTATGAAGGCCTGATGACTTAGTTGTGTTTGGGCTTCCCTGAGTGTTGCTCCTCTCAGAACTGGCACGTCCCTGTGGGAATGGGAATCCCGAAGCCTGTGGAGTTGTTACAGACGTTGACTTCCATGGAGCGTGAAGCTTTTAAGTCAGGGTAGCTCCTGCACCTGCCTGATGTGACTCGCATCTCCCTTGAGCCTGTACCGTGTCATCTAGAGTGTTAAAGAAAATAGCTCTGGGATGGCTGAGTGAGCTGTCACCTGCATGAACAACTGCAAAGACGCCCAGTAAGAGGAGCATCTGAGGCTGCCCAGCTGGCACGCTGTGGTTTCTGTCTCTGTCCTTCTGAGGTGTCAGTTGCTTGTGCTAGTATTACGAGTCTGTTCAGTGGCTGCATAATCTCACCTAGGGACAGATTTCCTTTCCGAGGTATTAGTGTTTTTGATAGAAGTTAGAAATATCTTTAGTTGGTGTCTCTATTTTCACTTTATGTTCCCTAATCTCGTGGGGAAATGGGTCTTTTTTCCAGTCTTGTCTCAAGGCCTTCACTTGTTTGACTCTGTCAGTAGCCACTAAGCCAGGTGAGTCCACCAATATAGAAAGAAGGTACGCAGGGTCTTCAAAAACTTCGTGGAAGATTTATATTATGAGAAAACTACTTGTACTGAAATAAACTCATACTTCAATTCCATTTTTCCACAAACTCTGAAGTCCCCTAGAATACATGGTGGTGTCAGCATCTCAGGTAGGCCTCGAAAATCAGAAACTTACTGCTTAGAACATAGCAATATGGGACCAGCTGATGGTGTAATGGTATAATGGTACGTTGCTGGACCCCCATGTAGTTGACTACAGTTCAAGTCCTGGACCCAGTGACTTGAAACTCACGCCGGGTATGTGTGCTTGCGTGCTCAATATCCCAAGAGGAGAATGGAGGAGAAGGCATTGCAGCATGGCCATCCCCCCTGGGGAGTGGTTTTTTACTTTCTATCTCTCTGGAGAGCACATATGCCCCATAGCAAAAATCTCTTTCAAGAAAAGGAACCTAGTGTGGGACTCTGATTATAAGCTGCCCATACATTCAACAGATTTTGATTGAACATCGTCCTCTATGTCAGGCACTAAGGAGTTTATGCAGAAACAATGGACTATATATGAGCTCTTAGTAAGCTCATGGAAATTGCATATTATGGGAAAACCTGCATGGATTTCATTTTTTTTTTCA